TTTAGAATCGACATATTTAAGCAAACCTCAGCATTAAGTTCAGTTGAACAAGTTCATTATTTTGATTCGAATGAAATTTTCCTACAGAGGAAGCACTTCAAAATAACGGAAGTACTACTGTAGTTGTAAAGAGTCTACTAACTGAAATTCCTAGCTTAAGGAAATTCAGCGTCTACTAGGTTTACAGCATATTACTATCTCACACTGTTATTTTTATTTACCTCAACCACTAATCTTATAGTTCCAGTTGACTTATAAGCCGATCCATGTAAAGATTACAAAGTGTTGATTCCAATAACAACATTCTTAACTTTACTTTATTCCCCCAACAATCCTAAACTTCATAAATTAATTTGAAGTAACATGTTTATCTCAAACTTAGCTATCCTCCTTAGGACGTTAATTAGGGTTTATAACTGTAGAACCTGGTGATAACATGTTGAAAAGAACATCCTCCGTCCAGGTATTTTGGTTTATACTGGCTCTTAATATCCAGTTAATACTTATCAATATGTGACATGTAAATGGCGTTTGTTAATTTATTAGGGTTTCGAATGTTATCTAAGTCTGCCTATGAATACTTCGCGATAGTCTGTAATAGCCGCATACAATGATAAGATATTGATTGTCTTGTTATTATTCGAGGATTGTCACGTTATAACAATCCATATGGTTCAAATGAAGAACTAACCAAGGTGGTGAATGAAGATAATGGACAGGAAACTCCGGATCTAGATTTCATTCTACCTAGCGCTCTTCAGCAAGGTGTACCTACAATTTTGAGGAAACTGATGCTCCCTGTCAGATTTGATATCATGCCACTCAGCTTCACAGTTAGAGACGTTACCACTGAGCTATCAGAGCCACGACTGGTCTCCTTTAAGACTGATATGTACTTAAAATTGACTGACTACTGGGTAGTGACTCATTTTCACTTGACACCCCCCATTAATTCATTACTTAGACAGACTCAAGAGAGCTTCAAGGTGTGAATCAATAGTGCAATACAAAACTATCATATTTATACCAGTTAGAAAGTAAACTCGTGATATGAAATCGACCACAAGTACACTGTAATCGTATCTTCTTGTTTGGCCATACAATTACTTGTGAACAAGCCTATCGTGATGACCCAACCGAGCTATATTGGCTGGAACATATGTTCCTGTAGGTTCTACCATGCCAGGCAGGTCGATTGGTGAACGGTAAGACTAAAAGCAGTAAGTCAAGGTCTGAGGGCGAAGTCGTACTGCTGACTGTAGAGGGGTGTGACAGCAGTAAGGTGTTTCCTTCGGACAACCAGCATGACAGCGATGCTGCCTTCCCACAAGGAGGGGTGGGGTTAGAAAAGGTCGACCCTAAAAATGTCACACCTCACCTTATCTCACGGATTTCCGTCTCCGGCGGTAAGGCCCTTTGAAGAACGGAGCTAACACGTCAAAAACCTTCCACAAAAAGGCCGTGCGCGACCGGCCTCAAGCAGTTGTCCCTTGGGCTCTGCGGTCACGCTCCCAGGTCGTCAAGACCAACACTAATCCAATTTCCTTTTCAGGTTCCTCAAGAAATACCCTTCCACGGTGTGGGCAGCCGGGAAGTGACATCAGCCCTCATACCCGTAACAGCACAAGAGACCAAGGTGGTCACATTCAAATCCTTCCTACACCTCCTAATACCTCTCTTATCTCCATGACTAACCCTCCTCACGTCTCTTTATCACCTCGCACCGCTAGGGCAAACGATTTGAGTACGTGGAACGCCATTCCTGGTCTCCTGAAACCACGCTCTAAACTACACGTAGGAGCTTTTAACGTACGAACACTTTGCCAAATAGGACAGCAGGCTTCCTTAGCTAAAACTTTAGAATCTCGCGCCATCGATGTGTGCTGCGTCTCCGAAACGCGCATACAGGATCCAAGTAGCGTCATTCATTTGACCTCACCATGCCAAAATAAAGAACCGACTCGATTTACGCTTCGTGTATCTGGAAGCCCTGATTCTGCTTCCCGTGGCCTCGCCGGCGTAGGTATAGCATTGAGTCCTAGGGCAGAACTAGCTCTCTTAGAGTGGATCCCAGTAGACAGTCGTTTGTGCGCTGTCCGACTGAACGGAACAGTAAGAATCCGGAAAGATAGGGACACTCGTCGTTGCCTCTTCGTCGTCTCTGCCTATTCTCCCACTGACTGCAGCTCAGATGATGTAAAAGATGAGTTTTACAGAAAGCTTTCGGACCTTCTCCGAAAAGCTAAGCGGTCGGATGCAGTAATAGTGGCCGGTGACTTTAATGCTCAAGTAGGTAAACTTAGCGATAGGGAAAGACACCCAGGTGGATCTTATGGTGTCGTGGCTCAAAGAACAGATAATGGCGACCGTCTGTTGCAGCTATGCTCAGATAACCGCCTGTTTCTTGCAAATACTAACTTTAAGCATAAGGAAAAACATCTTTTAACATGGCGACCCCCGAATTCGTCCCAACGTTGGACCCAAATAGATCACATCGCTATCAGCCACCGATGGAGGGGCTCGATAGAAGACTGTCGCTCATTCCGGAGCACATGCCTAGATTCAGATCATGCTCTAGTGCGAGCGCGTATTTGCTTGCGTCTTACTGGACGTAGGAAAGACGCTGCAAGGAAACCTCTTAGGGCCTACTTAATGATAGTCAAGCTAAGAGTATATTTCAGGAACAACTAGGAAAACAGTTAGGCAGCCATGTATGTGATGCCCACCCCGATGCAGCATGGAATGATATCCGAAAAGCTGTGGAAACAGCAGTGATATCTGCTAGTAAGGTAAACCAGAAGGTTAGGGAGCAACACTGGATCTCAGCAGCATCTATCGCACTGATAGATGCTCGGAAACTCATTCCACCTGGCTCTGAACATAATGAAGAGCGGAGTCAGCTTAAGCGCAAGCTGACAAGAAGTCTACGCAATGATCGCGAACAGTGGTGGGTAGCGAAAGCAAGAGAGATGGAAAAGGCAGCGGCAATAGGTAATAGCAGACAATTGTTCAGACTCGTTAAGGAAACCGGAATTAGGAACCCGACCGTTAGCGAAACAATCTCAGAGAAAGATGGACATATTATTCATTCTCAATCCAGGAGATTGGATCGATGGGCAGAACACTTTAGGGATCAGTTCAACTGGCCTTCAGCCACACTTCGGTTTCCCACGATCTCTAGTCAACCTGAATGGCAAGTTAATGTAGGTCCTCCGTCCCTTTACGAAGTTGAAAAAGCCATAGGAAATCTGAAACGAGGGAGAGCAGCAGGCCCTGACAGGTTTACTCCTGAGATTTTTAAGGATGGTGGTCCAGTATTAGCAATGAGATTAACCGAGGTCTTAGGTAGAATTTGGGAACTGGACGTAATCCCATCTGACTGGTCTCAATCACTGATTGTGCCAGTCTATAAGAAAGGACAAAAGTCCTCTTGTGACAATCACAGAGGAATCAGTTTGACTAATATAGTGTCTAAAATATTAGCTTCAATAATACTTCGACGCCTAATCAAAGCTCGTGAAGAGCAGATTAGAGAAAACCAGGCCGGTTTTCGACCTGGACGTGGTTGTATAGATCAGATATTCACACTACGTCAGGTTCTAGAACACAGACACACATTCAGACGCCCCACAATGGTAGTATTTCTCGACCTTAAGGCGGCATTCGACTCTGTTGATCGTGAGGTTCTATGGCAGTGTTTGTCACTGAAAGGAGTACCAAAGAAGTACATTAACCTTATAAAGGCTCTCTACTCGAACACAACTGGTAGAGTGAGAGCTTATGGCGAACTGTCATCAGAATTGATTACCTCAAGTGGTGTTCGTCAGGGCTGTCCACTCTCCCCATTCTTGTTCAACTTTGTGGTCGACGTACTTTTAGAGATAACACTCTCCTCATCTAAATTTACAGGGGTTGAACTTCTACCGGGAGGTTCACTTGTTGACTTAGAATATGCTGATGACATAGTTTTATTTGGTGAAGACGCTGACAAAATGCAGAGTCTTCTGACCACTCTAAGCAACAATGCAAGCATGTTCGGGATGCGATTCTCTCCCTCGAAATGCAAAATGTTGCTTCAGGATTGGGTTACATCGACACCCGAACTAGTGATAGGGAGTGAAGTAGTTGAGTGTGTCGACCGCTTCACTTATCTTGGAAGTCTCATCAGCCCTTGTGGTTTAGTGTGTGACGAAATCTCAGCACGGATACAGAAGGCTCGACTAGCTTTTGCCAACTTGCGTCATTTATGGCGTAGGCGAGATATCCGTCTATCAACCAAAGGACGTGTTTACTGCGCAGCAGTTCGTTCCGTCCTACTTTATGGCAGTGAAACATGGCCGGTAAGAGTAGAGGATATCCGTAGGTTACTAGTATTTGATCATAGGTGTCTTCGAAACATTGCTCGTATATCATGGGACCATCGAGTAAGTAACACAGTTGTTAGGAAACGGGTACTAGGTAAGGATGGCAAATCAATTGATGAAGTAGTGAAACTTCATCAGTTGAGATGGCTGGGACACGTGTTACGTATGCCCAACGACCGACTGCCTCGACGTGCTATGTTCAGTGGTATAGGAGTAGGTTGGAAGAAAGCTAGGGGCGGCCAAACCAAAACATGGCACAAGTCCATGAAGTCACTGACAAGTGAACTGAGTCATGTTGGTAGGTGTAGACTACCTGGTTGGGGACCGCGAGATGATAGCAACCGATGGTTAGAGACCCTGAATGACATGGCTCAAAATCGTTTGCAATGGCGCAGGTGCATCCACTCTCTGTGTTCTCCCAAATTCTAATCTTCTGAATCCTTCATGTCCCTTTTTTCCTCTTTCTAAATTTATTTCACTGGATTACACTCTATAAATAACATATCCAAACCCTAATCTTCCCGATTACTGCTTATACTCTTATTACCTCTACCACTACGGGATTTGAATCGACAACTGCATCTCTGTGCTAATGTAGTGTGGCAACTCGAACTGATGTACGTACGTACGAAGTTCTACGTTGTTACTGACTGACCTCAAGTCAACTAAGTACTCATAGACTTTCTATTCTTACGACCTACGTTTCGAGACAAATTGCACCAAAACACTCAGAAGGGATAATAATGTCTTCATTATCTAGCTTTCGTTGTAAGCTCTTATTGTAGCAATACATTTTTAAGGCAGACATTGATTTCTTACAGAACGTTAGTACCCTGATTCAGCAACGTACACAATGACCAAAATTTGGAGTACTATCATTTTACTTCCAGTGGCAAAACTGCTGAATTTACGGAAATTTTCCGAAGCAGGACATTTCGGTAGCGTAAATAGGACGACACGCATCAGAAGCAAGATGACGAACAATTGGGCGACTAAGTATACCAACAAATCAAACATATCCTTGCTTATCGACAAATAACTGTACAGACACAACGCAAAACCACAAAGACAAGGTGACTACAGAACACCAGTCTTAGTAAGCACCACTTCATGGCATATCGTAAGTTTGCTTATCATTAATACGTGTCGACGACTTCGAAGAAGCTCTAGGTGCTTGCGTCCATGTGACCAAACATGATGGTCGCTTGAAGCACGTAACCTCAGAAAACAAGGACTTAACACGTACAAAAGCTGACAACTCGCACTCAGTAAATTTACAAGAACACCCACAGGTTAGTGAGAGATTCATTCTCCATTTTTGACTTACGAGTCCAACAAGCTAACAAACAATTGGACGTGAAAAACTACATAGCCTATATTGGATCCGACCTCTTACACTTTGGCTGGTTAACCATATTCAGGGGGGTACATTTAACTTGTTAACCAGTAAAATTGGTATTCATCTTTAGAAATATACATTAACCCTTATTTCGATAAAACAACAAAGTACCAAGGTACAAAAAAATTTATCACAACTACATAAAAAAGAAAACAATTCATTCAGATTATGCATTGATTCAATTGACATACGACGCTATGCGCCAATAAAATGTACAAGCTCGTTGGAGCGAAGGGGAAAGTGTACAGGGAAAATGAAAGGGGGTGGCCGTAAAGGCCCCTATGTACAACTGAAGCGCAAAAGCGCAATAATAATAAGCTTTACAAAAGCTACAAGATCATACCACTGGGATTGCAAATAAACTGTTCACAAAAGGTATAATGAGGTAATACTTGAGAAGAGTTTAGTTAAATGCTAACAATGAACTATAAAAAAGACAACTTCCATATTGCAAAGTTCGGAAGATTAAGTTGGAAGCTGAAAAATCTGTGTTGGGCTCACTCCATTCGTAACATGCAGCTGAGGACCAGGAACTTTTGAATCCCTAGACCCACAGTCACGAGTTAAACAGAGTACTTTAGGTGGTGGCAAGACTGAAGGATCCGTCAGCAACATTTTATTGTCCGTCGAAGAAAGGCCGTTACCATTAGAATTACTGAAAGAAACATCAACACTGTGGGACCTGGGAAACTCAGAAGGCTGAAGTGTAACACCGTATGGCCTTGCCAGCTTTCGCCACAGGCGATGAGTTGATACCAAACTATTGCTAGGCTTCGGCACCAATATGGCCTGGGAAGCTTGACACATATTTGGATTCGTGATGGGAATCTATATATGTATGAAGCAAGCCCAAAGAAATTGTTAAGGTCTTAGCCATCATCAATGTAAAACCAATTAATAACTTAGATCATAATTTGTCACAATATCTGATAATTTAGATAGAACAAATGAATAATCGTCAAAGCAGTTACATCGTATGACTGACTAAAATTATACTGAGTAAACGCCATATGACAATACTTCTCAAAATCAGAAAGATAAAACCTTCAAAAAGCCAAAAATGAGTACAAATAAAAAAGGCTCACCATAACCGCGGACGATACATTAACTGATTTCTTTGGCGTTAGATCGTTCTGAGGGTGCAAGGGAGAATGTTTTTCCTGAACCAACAAACCGTCATTCGGAACATCATTTAACTCACGTCCCGCGTCCACAGCAACTTCATCTATGGTCACATCATCTGGATGCTTCCTCGAAGTTGTTGGACAATCCGTCTTCGAGTAGAAAATGGGAGAGGAACGATGATCCATGGAACCTTTAGATTCAATAAGTATAGGTTCGAAGGGTATTGGTGGGAAGATAGTTTCAGAAACAGGCCAGGAGAATGAAGGATGCTTACGATGCGAACTGAAAATAGAAGTCTTTAGTCTATTAAACAAAGCAACATCTTTTGTTTGTGACTGTCGCCAGCAAAAGTTTGACGGTATAAGACTTGGACTAGCTGAACCACTAGATCTCAAATTCGCATCATAGGACTGGAGATAAGCAGAAAGTTGCGAGGGGGCTGCAACGCGATCACATATTATTCGACCGCCACGACCAAGGCGACGCCTTATATAGCCGGTGTAGGTAAGATGCTTTGTATGACACAGTCGTGGAATTGTTGCTAATGTATAGCAGGAATAAGGTGAGCTGGAAGGATGGAGACTGGAAAGTGTGGAACACTCTTCTAGCAATGACCTAAGGAAATAAACACATACATAAACCTTACGTGAATATGAGATAAATGAAGGATAGTTGAATACGCTAACTTATCAAGCGTTAAGTTCGAACAATTACAGTTTCTCTAATAGTCGTTAAACGAGTACAGGAACACCATGTTTATGTCAAAAGAATTTAATGCGAACGAAAACTCATACAAGTCCTGACTAGTAATTACGCCTATAGTGAGACGCCGTTTACGAAGTGATAACCAACGACTTCATTAAAAATTAGCTCAAATTGACCATGAATAAGTGCTCAAGTCAGACCAGTTTCTATGCAATTGCTGCAGCTAACTCCACACGACAGAATGCCTCGTTCCGTACTAACTATGTACCCTAAACTCTACCAAACTCTTGGTGGCAATCACTAGGTGATTGGTCTGCACGAGTGACAAGGTACTGGCGGGGCAAGCCCCTAAAAAGGTCACCTGCTAAATACAACAGACAACGAGCATGTCACTTAGTTTACTAAAGACCGAGCCATTATCAGGAGGTCGCGCTTTACCTGGAGAGAACCATGGCGAAATCAGGAACGTCAATACGATACCGAGTGGCTTATGTGAACCAAAGCTTAGGAGTTCAGTCACTAGTGAGCACGAACTCGCAGTAACTTGTAATTCTGAGTTGAGTGACAACTACTCGAATGCTTTCAGCTAGTTATTCGTATTATCCCAACCTATGAAATTCCCTTGCTTGTGATACATAGTTCCCCTGTTTGATTCCACAACTATCTAACAAAACCATCCGACTGAGACCATGTTCAAGCGTGTCTTGGGAGACTTTCTCTTACGTACACAGAATTCTGGTATATTGGATACAGTAAGGGTCTATACATGCTTGTTGTAGAATAGCCATGTCCAGTAACTTAAGAAAATTGTTCATACAACATAAAATTGGTTTCGGTGATAAATACCCGGTGGGAATCCCACTGCGAGGGACTGTGATTTCTTACAATTTTACCAGAACTACTTGAGGCAAATAAATAAGAATGGTGAATTAAAATCTTATATTAAACAATAGACCTTTCCGCATCCATCATTAGCATTAATGCAAACACTATGTACAATAATTTGAGCAACCATTAGTCCACGATTGGAAACATTAAAAGATATATTGCGCTTTTAAAGTATAAATCAGGAAGTTTTCGTCATGTACAGATGGAATCCGTGGTTAGTGGTACTATGCAATCCCAAATTATAGACGTCCTACTTAGTCTACTTATGAAAAGCTGTAGAAAAACGGACAGTGAGTATAACTCAACAAATAGACAAAAGTTTAGTATAGAAACACAGTAGGTCCGCTGGTTAACTATATACCTTGGCTTCAAATATCGGCAACCAGGAGTTCTAACAAAAGAGAATGGTCCACTTTGATCCTCATCATCATCATTGTCAGAAGCCTCGTCGGAACTTGTGGGGTTTGGAAGATTGCTGAACCTCTTGACCAGTTTGCGCTTGCGATTAGGACGTCTTTTGTTGTCCTAAAAGAAATGAAAGTCTTAGGCAGGTGACTTACTTTCAAAGACTTCATAGTTACTACACCTTCATCCTCGTGATGGTTCCGCACTAAAGCTTCGGCTTCTACGAGACTTGAGCCTTCCCAGTCGCATAGCTTACATCTAAGCTGAAAGCATCTGTAATCACAGTTAACAATTGCTTCCTTTGTAGCTTCACGTTTGACAAGTCGACCGAGTATCTCCCTAAGAAAATGCATTAGAATAAACGTTTTCAAACCCTAGAGAATCCATTTGTTCTCTCAAGATCAACATCCTTTCGTACGACTGCTCATCACTTTTTCGGTTTTTACGGGTTTGCATCTTTTCACTCCGTCTTCGGAACGCCACATATGGATCCGTGTTACTACCACCGTCACGTCGCTCTTGTCGAACAGCGTAAAGGAGAGGTTGCCTTGACTGAACACGCTTATTAAGCCAATAATCATAAACAGCGATAACTAGGGATGGGTGGTCTTGAAGAAGGTACTTAGCTTCTTCCAAATTCATTACCTATAAGCAATGAACTAGGGGAAGTATATATACCTTTTGACCACAACCACGCTCAAGCCGGTCGATCATAGACTCAAATTTCTCAGGAGTAATACCCAGATCACTTTTTTGGAACCACTCTTCATCTTCACTATCCATATCATATTCAATTGGTTCTTCTTCCGAGAACACGATTGCTTCACAGAAAATGTTACGTCAATGCACAACTTACTTCTGATATGTAAGAGCTGTTTTGGTAGACTAAAGCTGTCTGGGTAAACCCTCTTATAATCATTCTCTTTGTCAATTATCTCGGGGACAGGTATTTTAACATCTGAGTCTGTACGGAGTTGCAAGGCCTGAATAACCTCCAGAAAGTGATGTTCCTGGTGGGGAAAGTTAAAAAACGACATTAGTTCACGAACCACTTCTCCTATTAATCAAGTAAGCAATCGAAAATTAGAGACTCAAGGACAATAACATACATCGTATTACTACATAAAAGCCTAAATTTTATTACATTTTCCTCCTCTTTCTCCATCCCGCTGGGAATCTGTGGAACGCCACGATTGACCAGTGCATTTTCACTGATTTCAAGGAATAATTCAGAACCATGCTTCAGAATAGGTAAGGGTTTGTTAAAATCTATTTGTCGAGCTCGAAATGAGACTTTGCTCATAGCTGAAAACAAGAACAAGAAAAGCAAGCTCATTGATAGCTAGTGAACATAGTTCTTATCTTATTGAAAGCTCAAGAAAAACTGAAAACTAAGTATGTACATCGATTTACAATTTCATATTAAGGATATCATAACTCAATAACCTTAATTATTTTAATCTTTTGGCCCCACTCCAATATGGCGCGGGGTCATTTAAGTGAAATCCAGTATGGCGGTTCAATCGTCTGCAAATGGCCGGCAAGATGGAGGAAAACGTATATCATTAGCCAATTATAACAACTTCGTAACGTCTTGAAGATATTTTCGATTTGCAGCTTGGAAATATGACTTAAAAGTTTTTCTTTCTGAATTTTTTTCATACATTATTAAACAGTCTGCTGAATTATTGTTTTTTGCCTACGAGGTAGAACTTCATTGAGTAGTTCACAGCAAGTATGGTGTTCCTAGAATTCAAAAGAAAAAGACTTTGCCTCAAAATTCGTCGGATACCATTTTCCTAATTCTCCTTTATTCATAGTCTAATGTAGCCTATCTCTGACATGTTACAATTCATATTGCCTACATATTTACCACCGGTAATTGGACATTTGATCTTTGTTGTGATCATATTATTAAGCTCCACATACAGTACATAGATAATACATAGGTAACTTCACAAACTTTGACAGCAGCTCGCAAAGACATAAGATATAGAACTAAGAAACGCAACCATGTAAATCACTATAATTCACGAGTGATGAAGTTCTAAATTTCATCAGGAAAAACCATCCCTAGTTATCACTGTTTATGATTATTGGCTTAATAAGCGTGTTCAGTCAAGGCAACCTCTCCTTTACGCTGTTCGACAAGAGCAACGTGACGGTGGTAGTAACACGGATCCATATGTGGCGTTCCGAAGACGGAGTGAAAAGATGCAAACCCGTAAAAACCGAAAAAGTGATGAGCAGTCGTACGAAAGGATGTTGATCTTGAGAGAACAAATGGATTCTCTAGGGTTTGAAAACGTTTATTCTAATGCATTTTCTTAGGGAGATACTCGGTCGACTTGTCAAACGTGAAGCTACAAAGGAAGCAATTGTTAACTGTGATTACAGATGCTTTCAGCTTAGATGTAAGCTATGCGACTGGGAAGGCTCAAGTCTCGTAGAAGCCGAAGCTTTAGTGCGGAACCATCACGAGGATGAAGGTGTAGTAACTATGAAGTCTTTGAAAGTAAGTCACCTGCCTAAGACTTTCATTTCTTTTAGGACAACAAAAGACGTCCTAATCGCAAGCGCAAACTGGTCAAGAGGTTCAGCAATCTTCCAAACCCCACAAGTTCCGACGAGGCTTCTGACAATGATGATGATGAGGATCAAAGTGGACCATTCTCTTTTGTTAGAACTCCTGGTTGCCGATATTTGAAGCCAAGGTATATAGTTAACCAGCGGACCTACTGTGTTTCTATACTAAACTTTTGTCTATTTGTTGAGTTATACTCACTGTCCGTTTTTCTACAGCTTTTCATAAGTAGACTAAGTAGGACGTCTATAATTTGGGATTGCATAGTACCACTAACCACGGATTCCATCTGTACATGACGAAAACTTCCTGATTTATACTTTAAAAGCGCAATATATCTTTTAATGTTTCCAATCGTGGACTAATGGTTGCTCAAATTATTGTACATACTGTTTGCATTAATGCTAATGATGGATGCGGAAAGGTCTATTGTTTAATATAAGATTTTAATTCACCATTCTTATTTATTTGCCTCAAGTAGTTCTGGTAAAATTGTAAGAAATCACAGTCCCTCGCAGTGGGATTCCCACCGGGTATTTATCACCGAAACCAATTTTATGTTGTATGAACAATTTTCTTAAGTTACTGGACATGGCTATTCTACAACAAGCATGTATAGACCCTTACTGTATCCAATATACCAGAATTCTGTGTACGTAAGAGAAAGTCTCCCAAGACACGCTTGAACATGGTCTCAGTCGGATGGTTTTGTTAGATAGTTGTGGAATCAAACAGGGGAACGATGTATCACAAGCAAGGGAATTTCATAGGTTGGGATAATACGAATAACTAGCTGAAAGCATTCGAGTAGTTGTCACTCAACTCAGAATTACAAGTTACTGCGAGTTCGTGCTCACTAGTGACTGAACTCCTAAGCTTTGGTTCACATAAGCCACTCGGTATCGTATTGACGTTCCTGATTTTGCCATGGTTCTCTCCAGGTAAAGCGCGACCTCCTGATAATGGCTCGGTCTTTAGTAAACTAAGTGACATGCTCGTTGTCTGTTGTATTTAGCAGGTGACCTTTTTAGGGGCTTGCCCCGCCAGTACCTTGTCACTCGTGCAGACCAATCACCTAGTGATTGCCACCAAGAGTTTGGTAGAGTTTAGGGTACATAGTTAGTACGGAACGAGGCATTCTGTCGTGTGGAGTTAGCTGCAGCAATTGCATAGAAACTGGTCTGACTTGAGCACTTATTCATGGTCAATTTGAGCTAATTTTTAATGAAGTCGTTGGTTATCACTTCGTAAACGGCGTCTCACTATAGGCGTAATTACTAGTCAGGACTTGTATGAGTTTTCGTTCGCATTAAATTCTTTTGACATAAACATGGTGTTCCTGTACTCGTTTAACGACTATTAGAGAAACTGTAATTGTTCGAACTTAACGCTTGATAAGTTAGCGTATTCAACTATCCTTCATTTATCTCATATTCACGTAAGGTTTATGTATGTGTTTATTTCCTTAGGTCATTGCTAGAAGAGTGTTCCACACTTTCCAGTCTCCATCCTTCCCGCTCACCTTATTCCTGCTATACATTAGCAACAATTCCACGACTGTGTCATACAAAGCATCTTACCTACACCGGCTATATAAGGCGTCGCCTTGGTCGTGGCGGTCGAATAATATGTGATCGCGTTGCAGCCCCCTCGCAACTTTCTGCTTATCTCCAGTCCTATGATGCGAATTTGAGATCTAGTGGTTCAGCTAGTCCAAGTCTTATACCGTCAAACTTTTGCTGGCGACAGTCACAAACAAAAGATGTTGCTTTGTTTAATAGACTAAAGACTTCTATTTTCAGTTCGCATCGTAAGCATCCTTCATTCTCCTGGCCTGTTTCTGAAACTATCTTCCCACCAATACCCTTCGAACCTATACTTATTGAATCTAAAGGTTCCATGGATCATCGTTCCTCTCCCATTTTCTACTCGAAGACGGATTGTCCAACAACTTCGAGGAAGCATCCAGATGATGTGACCATAGATGAAGTTGCTGTGGACGCGGGACGTGAGTTAAATGATGTTCCGAATGACGGTTTGTTGGTTCAGGAAAAACATTCTCCCTTGCACCCTCAGAACGATCTAACGCCAAAGAAATCAGTTAATGTATCGTCCGCGGTTATGGTGAGCCTTTTTTATTTGTACTCATTTTTGGCTTTTTGAAGGTTTTATCTTTCTGATTTTGAGAAGTATTGTCATATGGCGTTTACTCAGTATAATTTTAGTCAGTCATACGATGTAACTGCTTTGACGATTATTCATTTGTTCTATCTAAATTATCAGATATTGTGACAAATTATGATCTAAGTTATTAATTGGTTTTACATTGATGATGGCTAAGACCTTAACAATTTCTTTGGGCTTGCTTCATACATATATAGATTCCCATCACGAATCCAAATATGTGTCAAGCTTCCCAGGCCATATTGGTGCCGAAGCCTAGCAATAGTTTGGTATCAACTCATCGCCTGTGGCGAAAGCTGGCAAGGCCATACGGTGTTACACTTCAGCCTTCTGAGTTTCCCAGGTCCCACAGTGTTGATGTTTCTTTCAGTAATTCTAATGGTAACGGCCTTTCTTCGACGGACAATAAAATGTTGCTGACGGATCCTTCAGTCTTGCCACCACCTAAAGTACTCTGTTTAACTCGTGACTGTGGGTCTAGGGATTCAAAAGTTCCTGGTCCTCAGCTGCATGTTACGAATGGAGTGAGCCCAACACAGATTTTTCAGCTTCCAACTTAATCTTCCGAACTTTGCAATATGGAAGTTGTCTTTTTTATAGTTCATTGTTAGCATTTAACTAAACTCTTCTCAAGTATTACCTCATTATACCTTTTGTGAACAGTTTATTTGCAATCCCAGTGGTATGATCTTGTAGCTTTTGTAAAGCTTATTATTATTGCGCTTTTGCGCTTCAGTTGTACATAGGGGCCTTTACGGCCACCCCCTTTCATTTTCCCTGTACACTTTCCCCTTCGCTCCAACGAGCTTGTACATTTTATTGGCGCATAGCGTCGTATGTCAATTGAATCAATGCATAATCTGAATGAATTGTTTTCTTTTTTATGTAGTTGTGATAAATTTTTTTGTACCTTGGTACTTTGTTGTTTTATCGAAATAAGGGTTAATGTATATTTCTAAAGATGAATACCAATTTTACTGGTTAACAAGTTAAATGTACCCCCCTGAATATGGTTAACCAGCCAAAGTGTAAGAGGTCGGATCCAATATAGGCTATGTAGTTTTTCACGTCCAATTGTTTGTTAGCTTGTTGGACTCGTAAGTCAAAAATGGAGAATGAATCTCTCACTAACCTGTGGGTGTTCTTGTAAATTTACTGAGTGCGAGTTGTCAGCTTTTGTACGTGTTAAGTCCTTGTTTTCTGAGGTTACGTGCTTCAAGCGACCATCATGTTTGGTCACATGGACGCAAGCACCTAGAGCTTCTTCGAAGTCGTCGACACGTATTAATGATAAGCAAACTTACGATATGCCATGAAGTGGTGCTTACTAAGACTGGTGTTCTGTAGTCACCTTGTCTTTGTGGTTTTGCGTTGTGTCTGTACAGTTATTTGTCGATAAGCAAGGATATGTTTGATTTAATAATAATAATAATATTTTATTCTCAAATAACAGTTTGTTACATGAGGCATGCCAGTTTACAGGCAAGATCAAATTGATACAAATGATACAATATTCACTGTAGTAAATTACATAGCTGGGTTGATAATTTATGAGATATGAATGTAGATGGTTTTAAGCAGTTCTACAGTTAGCGCGCTTCATGAAAGTTGCGTTGCAAATGTGCGACTGGTGGTCAAGGATAGGTCCATTGAAGGTATGAGCTTCTAGAAATCGCAACCTTATGTCCCTTTAGAATATCCAAGGCTTTAAGGATGGTGCAGGATGAAGTCACCCGTTCCATATCTCAAGGGGGCTGAAAGAGGGAGCAAGTAAAAGAAAACACGAGGGGCAGAGTAGCCAACATTCATGAAGGAATGTTCAAGGTATGATTACTCAGTCTAATTTTCTTTTATTAAGGTATTTGTTAAGAAATCGCATTTTAATAGGTTAAAGAAAATAAGTGATAACAAGGTGTGAGTGGACATACAACTGACAAATGGAGGCGATTCGTAAAGGAGCTGAAAGTATGGGATTATTTGTGATTATAAAATAAAATCTAGTGCTAGAAACAGTATTGTGATATACAATTGGCTATCTTCCTTTTATTATCGAAGCTATTAGAGCCCCTTTCGTTTTTTTTTTATTTTTTTTCAGGTATTATAGGGTCTTGAGTAGGCTTCGTATATTAGCGAATTGTCTAGTTTGCTTGTAATAGGATTTCTGGGTAGGAAGTGAAACCAATTCAACGTTCGTAACACGATTTAAAGAGGTATTTTGCGTGATAAATCAGCATCAATACCATAAGTTCGTGACATCCCACTAAAACATAAGGAGCCGTAATTAAACAAAATGTTCTGCCCTACAGACATGGGTGGATTGAAGTTATCTCCCCACCTTCATGTTTGCTGGTCAGTAACGCCACCCTCCCTCCTTTTGTGATGTTAGGCTCTCTTACGTTTGTGGTAAGTATGAATACTGCTTTAATCAAAGCCCATAGTTGGAATACACTGTCTCTACTAGGTCCATGTTACAAGCAAATCAGATAGTTGAAAAGTCTTTTTTTGGGTTAGATGTCCATATAGTATATCACACTGCTATGAAAATAACTAATGGTTTAAAGAAGTAAGGACTAATAGCAAATCAAAAGATATGAGAGGGTATAAAATTGTAGAAAGAAAAAAAGATTTTAGGGTAAGACAAATAAAACATTGAGAAACTCACAAGACTTTGTGGCCAAATTTTGAGCTTTGTATGATCGGCCTTAGTAGATCAGCATCCATAAGGTTGAGCTATCTGTCTAATTGCAGTAGAAAAAAAAGCATGACTTTTAGGAAGAATAATGTACATTTAACCTGTAGAGATTTGGGGACTGAAAGCTAGGGTTAGGAGCATGAAGTCATGATTAATAAACAATGAATAATAGGAAAGGATAGGCCATATATTCTGTGATTTGGTTATATTCATATTAGTAACAGTCGAACTTGTTATAATTTTGTTCTTTCTAGATACTAGGCGGTCCGTAATAAAGTGCCTCCTTGGTGGGCGGGAGTTCAAGGAAATGTTGAAGCTCTTTGGAGTCTAGAAATAGGGTTATTAGCTTTTTGAATCTGGTAAACGTATCACAGTTACGGATAGGCATTGGCAGCCTGTTCCACAATAAACTGTACCGTACTGTAAAAAACTTACAACGCATTTGTTTTTGGTGTTTTACGGTAAGTAGTGTATATGCGTTGTTTCTAAGTCTATAGGCTGGGTCGTGGGTGATAGTCGGGCAGGAGGTTAGAAAGGAGAGCCCATATATCGCTTTGTAGAGAAATATTAAATTGTTTTTTAGCCTACGGTGCCATAAAGGTTCTAAAGATAGATGCTTACATCTTTCTGTGTAATCGAGATTCGAGTTACATCCTAGTAGTTGACGTGTGAAACGTCTTTGAACATCTTCTACTCTTATCTTGTCTGCGATATTCATATTAGAGAAGACAAAAGAGCAGTATTCAAGGGAGGGTCGTACACATATTTTGTAGAGAGTAAGTTTACCCTCTGTTGTGAAAAAGTTTTTCATTATAAAACCAATTAGCCGTCTAGATTTAGAAATAATATAGGAGGCATGTTCTTCAAAGTTTAGGCTTCCTGTGTAATTAATTCCTAAATCGTGTACTGATTCGAATGTTTGGACTCTACATTCATTTAAGTGAAGTCGCGGTTTATAGGGATGCTTTCCAAAGTGCATGATCCCGCACTTGTTGAGGTTAAATGGTAATTGCCATTTTTCACTCCATATAGTTAAGTTATTGAGGTCCTTTTGGATCTGGGATACACTTTCGCTTAGTGTCTCAGGCTTATAGCTGTATACTATTTTGAGATCATCAGCATATAAGTATGGTTTCCCAAATTCTATGGTGTTACATATATCGTTTATATACATAAGAAACAAAAGTGGACCTAATACGCTTCCCTGGATGACTCCACTGGTGATTGGTCTAGGGGACGAGAGACAGTCATTGTACTTTACCATCTGTTTACGTTCTGTTAAGAACGAAGCAAACCATGAGTACAGTGGGTTGTGTATTCCGAAGGACTTTAGTTTGACGAGTAGCCTTTTGTGTGGGACCTTATCAAAGGCTTTCTTAAAGTCTAGGAATAGGACTGATACAAGGAGTCCGCTGTCTCGTTTCAGAGTTATATCATTCAGGTAGTCTACTAGGCATGTATCGCATGATCTGGACCTAAGAAATCCATGCTGGGAGGTCGAGATGAGATTATTAGTTAGTAGATGTTGGACTACAGCCGCCTTAACTACTTTTTCCATCACTCTGGATACCACTGAAGTTATGTTTATAGGCCGGTAATTTTCAACGTTTGCTTCAGGTCCTGTTTTAATTTTGGGAATGATATGTGTAGTTTTCCAGGCAGTAGGGTAACACGCTGAAGAGAGTGATATCGCGAATAGTTTGAGAAGCAAAACACACATATCATCACCTCCACGTTTTAGCATGCTAGATGGGATACCATCTGGTCCATCAGTGTAGGAGTGTTTCAATGTACTGATTGCCTTGGAGATATTTTGTACACTGAATTCTACATTAGTAATTTCACAGGGAGTTACTGGGATTGGTTCTGAATCATTAAATGGTTTTTCGTTAGTTAGTGAGAAACAAAAATGTTCACTAAATAATTCTGTGATAAGTTTGGGATCTTCGTATACTTGTTTGCCTTTAATGAATATACTCCCTCTCGATTTAGAGCGTTTAAGTTTATTTTGGAGTAGTATGGTGAGTGCAGAGGAGTTATTATTAAGTTCAACTGCACGTTTTTCCTGTGCTACTGCTTTTTGTTTACTTATTGCCTCTGTTCGGACAAGTATTTCTGTCATCGTTACTAAAGAGGAAAAGTCATTTAAGTTGTGGAATCGAGTACAATGTCTTTGAAGACGTCTTCTTGTACTGACCGGTATATAGAGATCTTTGGAAAACGTAGGTTTACAGTATTCTAAAGGTGCGATGTTGTTGATGATACTTTTGATGTTGTGATAAAATATATTGATTAATGTGTCGGTATTGTTTGAGGTAAAGAAAGTTCTCCAATCAGTGCTTCTTAAGTAATTGTGGAAGTTATTCCAATCAACCTTGCGATAGTTTCTACGAAGTGTTACGGTTTTACTTCTATCGGTTGTGGTTTTTACATTAAGGCTGCATATGACAATGTTGTGATCACTACCTGGGAACTTTTTTCCAATATACAAAGTATTGGGGATGAGGCCACTGGTAAAGACTAAGTCTAAGATGTTTTGATGTCTGGTAGGGCTATCGACATACTGAGTCCATTGTCCAAGCTCTAGACATTCAATAAATGATTCATAACGTCTCGGCGCTTTGACTGGCAGCCAAGAAATTTCGGGCATATTGAAGTCACCACAAATGAGCTTGCCTGTGAATGAGAGGGATGATGCTAGTGTGAATACCTCCGATAATACTGCTATTTCATCTATTGATGCGTTAGGTTGACGATAAACACAGCCGAGCAGTAAGGTAACGGAATTCGACGGCTTTAATACAATCCACACCGAATCCTTCAGTTTGTTTAGTTCAGGCATATCACATAGCAGTGAGTTTAGGCTAGAGTGAGCGTAAATAAGGCATCCTCCGCCTCGTCCATTCAATCTATCGCTTCTATATAGGGAATAGTTATCAAGAGATATACTTCGGTCGGAAATATTACTGTTAGTCCATGCTTCAGATATCATAATAACTGATGGTTGATATATGGATACAAACAGGGCTAAATCCGTCTTTTTGTTGCAGATCGATCGAGCGTTGATAAGACATATATTAAGCAGGTGGCCTACTAAGTTAAAATGGGTGAGGGTATCTCGGATAAAATTGTCGTAACCCTCGCGCGTATGAGATGAGTTTGATGTGAGGGATTGGATGTTCTTCATTAGCTCGGTATTTTGATAGCTAGACTTATTGGGAGATGTATCAAATGAGCTAGTGAAGTTGATTGGGGAGTTTACCCAGGAGGAAAGGGTGGGAGTACTCTCTGGTGGAAACTGTACGGAGGAAACAAATTTATGGTTTGCATGTGGTTTGAAATAACCTGGGCTATATGCTTCAACAGAGGTGTCACTAGGGGTCTTATTCCAAAAAAATCTTGTACAGGCCTACTGTGAAGTGTATGGTTATTTACAAAATAGTCTTGATGGTTAGACTCGTAGCCCCTGTTATGGCTATTTACGTTAGCGTGAGAGGGGTCTGCTACGCGTAACTGGGAGGAGTTGCGACTGCTGTTATACATGGGAGCCGTTGTTATGTGATGGGTCGGTACTAAAGGGTGTGAGAAGTTTTCTTTCTGAGAGTAATTACAGTTGCGATCCTGGGGAATGTAGGTAGGGTGTGGAGTGAGAAACCTATTATTACCATTCTTATTCATGGTTTTAGGCTTCAGGGGGTGATTTGGGTGGCCAGTTCTCTG